CTCTTCCCCTTATGATTCCCTGGTGAGTTTACGTTTGCCTCTGTGACTGGCTTTCGAGCAAGGAAACCTTAACCACCATGCCCTACGAAGGAATCCATCTCCTATTATTGGGAAAAGCTCTAGAGGAGCTAGAACAGGAATTTCCAACTACTAATATTATTCTGGCTGGCTAATGCTAGAGTGGGCCAGAATGGCTCTGAGCTAGTAGAGAAGTTAGGTCTTTCCTCCAAAGGTGCTCCCTCCATCTATCTATCTAATTATAGACTTTCCAGAGATGTAACATTTAATGACGCTGGGGTTCATTGAGTCCAATTATGTTTGACATGTAATCTAACTATTTTGAATGGCTCTTCCCCTTATGATTCCCTGGTGAGTTTACGTTTGCCTCTGTATGAGGCTGTAGTGTGGTGGATTATATGTTGACCTCACCAACTTTAAAAGACAAGATTAGGGCTTTTTCAATTGTGGAGAGGGTTGAAAGCGATCATTTTCCTCTGACTCTAGCCTTAAACCTTTTTAGTTCTACATCGGAGAGCATTCAGCAGAGTGTGATGAGTGAAAAAGCATTATCTGAATTACCTAGACTCTTGGTCTGATGAGACTGCCCAGGTGGTTGCTATTTTTTTGGACGATTATACCTTAAATAAGTTTGTATCTTTAGCAGTGAACTCACCTCAGTGTTTAGACTGGCTTCTGGTGTATAATAATGTGCTGAATCAACTTTTATCAGTTTGGTAGGGATGCTTCCATACATGGCTGGTTTGATAAAGAGTGCTATATGATGAAGTGTCGGTTACATTCCATCTATCAGTGCTATAGAGATTTGAATTTACTGCAACCCCCGATGGAGTATTTTGAACTTAAAAATACCTTACATCACCTGTATAAAAATAAACAGAATAATTTCCTGAAGAAAGGCTGGGAATCCCTTATACAAGCTACAATCAATAATGACTCAAGGAAATGTTGGTCATTGATTGCTAGCTCAATGGGTAGAAATGGCCTGGTCAATGGTGTAATCACTGCTGACTCTTGGCATGAGTATTTTGCCATGATTTTTCAGGAAGATAGAGGTAACTTAGAATAAGAGCTTGATTTTAATCTAGATGATTGTCCTGTCTAGGCTCCGGTACAGCTTGAGGAGGACGAATCTCCAATTGTGTCAATTAAGCCAAGTAAAGCTCCTGGATATGATGCCTTTCCCTCTGATGCTATGAAAGCCTCTCCCCAGTGGTGGGGCCCCCTTTTAGTAGCCCTGTTTACGGCTATAGATAGGTCTGGAGTGATACCTGGTGAATGGAAGAATATTATAATAGTCCCCATTTATTAAAAAAAGGAGACCCCCAGCTTCCATCTAATTACAGGCTGATTAGCCTTTTATCCTCTATCAGGAAATTGTATGCTAGCCATTTGACTAATAAACTAAAACCTGGATATCAGATCAGCAAATCCTGGGGTTAGAGCAGTTCGGTTTCTGTCAGGGTAAGTCAACCTTAGATCATTGTGTCGTCCTAAACCATCTCATAAATAAATATAGGAAAGGGAAGGGGCCTAAATTATATGCTGCCTTTTTAGACCTAGAGGGAGCTTTTGATTCCATACTCAGAAGTATTCTGTGGAAAAAATTAAGACATATGGGGATTGATAAGCGCCGCCGCCTTCTATTTTTGATTAAAAATTTGTACTCTGAAACTTCTTGTCAGGTAAGGTGCTCCAAAGAGGGTGAATTAACCCCCAGGATCTTAACCACAGTTGGAGTTAAGCAAGGCTACATTTTAGCACCTACATTATTTAACCTCTTTTTAAATGACCTGGCCCCTTTTATGAATGGAATTGATGGTCATTGCCCAAAAATAGGACATAAGTGTGTCCCACTGCTCCTATATGCTGACAACACTGTCTTACTCTCATTATCTAATATTGGGCTGAAATGCTAATGCATTTTTCAATCTATTGTGATAGGAATAGACTTTCCCTAAATTTTGATGTCCAAAATTATGGTCATTGGGTGAAACTGGTAGCCTAGTGATTGGATTATACAAAGCAAATCCATTGAACAGGTCAAAAGCTTTAAATACCTTGGCATTTATTTTTATTGCAATGCTAGTTGGGCCACACACACTAGGGAGACAGTAAAATCTATAAATAGTACAGCTCTTGCAATCTCCTGTGTCTTCTTCACCAAAAGAAATCAGTATATTCCAGCGGCCCTTAAAGTATTTAATTATAAAATTGGTGCCAAATTGTTATATGGTGTTCCAGACTGGATCTCTGCCTTCAATGCAGTGATGGAACGTGTTTAAGCTAAGTTCCTGAGGAAAATTTTAGGGCTTCCAGAGTGCGTATATTATGCTTGGAGTTGAATCAAGGACAGTTAGTTACAAAGGCTTGGATCATAACCATTAAATTTTGGCTACGCCTTTATTTTAGATGCGATCCTAACAGTCTCATTACTCATATGCTTTCTGAATCTCATCTATCTGATTGGTTGACCTACATAGGCCCCGGTCACACGCGCAGGAAACTGCGGGGGAGAAGTGTGGCTGTTTGCCCCGGGGCAAACTAACACGCAGTAAAGCGATCATACCTCCTGTGGAGGTTCTGTGGAGGTACCGTGGAGCTTCCGTGGTTACGGAGAGGCGTTGATCACAACACATGCCTGCGCGCAACGAAGAAGCGTGCGGCGCGGCGAACTGGGTTTCTTTTTTTGTGTACACTACGAATGCGCATGCTCCGTTGGGTGCGTGTGCGCAACCACGGAGACTTGGGGGGGGAAAAACCTTCTTCGCAAGTGGACATGGGCGGGCGCCGGATGCCACCGGAAACGCGATCAGACGCCCGCCCTTGCCCCGCAGTTTCTTGCTGCGCGTTTTCGGGAGGAAGCCTCGGTTGTGCCACGGAAGCGCTACGCTCCCCAGATGTGCTGGTGAGATTGCGCCCGGAAACTCCGCCTGTCTTCCGTATCTCTTGCGTGGCTAATGTTGCGTGTGACCGCAGCCAATGATGAGGAAATTTCAGTAACTGGACTTAACATTACTGACTTGGTTTTGCTTTTGGAGAAGCAAGATTTTGCCTTGATCAAGCAAAGGCTTATTGATATTGAGTTATGAGAACTGAAAAGCCTGGCCTCTGGACATTGTTCCCCTGTGCATTGGGAGCTTTTATCTGGCCCTTCCCTTCCTGAATATTTATCTTGTCTGTGTGATCCTTATCTTTGTGGGGCGTTTATGTTAGCTCGTTTTAATGTTCTCTCATCTATGGTGTTATATGGGAGATTTTAAAAAAATTCCATATACAGATAGGTTGTGTCCATGTGGGATGAGCAAGACTGAAGATAATAATCATGCTATTTTGCATTGTAAATTTTATGATAACCTTCATACTGTATTTTTAAAACCTGTCCTGCTACTTTTGGAGGGTCAATCCGATGATCACAAGACCTTTATACTTTTAGCCTCAAATAAGAGTGAAATAATTGAATCTGTAGCAAAATTCCTGTATCAGGCCTCGAGGAGATGTTCTTTCTGACAACAGATTTTAGTGTATTTTATATGGATTTGTGCTGTTATGCCGATAAAGGTTTGTGATTTGTGAGTTTTCAAGCTGAATGCTCGAGCGTCCACTGGTGACGTGCCTAGCATGATGATGTCACTTCTGGGTGATGTCATTGCAGCGTGTGTGCACATACTACATGCATGAATGTCCTGAATGGGGAGCTTCTCCCCCCTGCCTCAACAGGTAAGAGACCTGGCAACCCTAGGCATTTAACACACAACAATAGCAGCAATACCAAAAAACAAACAGCACTGCACACTTGGAGTTTTATTTGTGGAGGTTTATTTATTTATTCATTTGTCAAATTTATATCCTGCTCCCTCTCACCTGATTGGGACTCAACATAAAATACACCAGATAAAAACAGTACAAAGGATACAATCAATTAACTTTAAAAATATGATGTCGGCCCTGGAATTGCTTTACAAACTCTGATGCCTAGAAACTGCCTCTCTGTGCCTACCAGGAGGATGCCAGCCATCAGGACACTATATCTCAGCCTTGTTCTAGAGCTACCTCTTTGCCCAATGCCATCCTTCCCACCTTTCCATCTTACAGGGATTCCCTGATGAGGTGGGTACATCTCACAGCTTACTCTGGCTTTTGGCTGTAAGTCCTGGCATGCCTGCACCTAATTTTCCTGCTGGTTGGTTTCTGTTGATTCTGGACTGGCTACGCAGAGCCTCTCCTCCTCTGAGAAGTCCTCACTGTCACTGAGCCCTGGCTGACCAACCCAGCCCCACCCCTGTGCTCTGCTCAGTTGGCTTGTCGCAGCTCCAGCGTCCTTTACATGCTCTGCTCAGTTGGCTTGTCGCAGCTCCTTTACGGGCCCAGGGCCACGTCTGCTGGGGCTGTCCTTGTATCAGCATCAGGGCTGCAGGGATTCCTGGTCCCTCTTGTCAGTTGTTGGGGTTGTGTTCCATCTCCTGCGGCCACCCTGACTCTGAGCTGCCCTTCCTCACCGCTTCCCCTGTCCCGCTGTGGGGCTCCTCACTGTCGGGCGACCAGTTGTATTGGCTCAGCACTGGTAAGCGGGGATGCTGTGGGGTGGCTGAGGGTTGGGTCTGAGGCCTAGAGCCCTTGGGCTGGGACACAGTTATACATAGTACTCATATGTTTGAGTGTGAGAGCATTTTTTTCAAAGAATCCCAGTTATAGGTAAGTAATTTTAAGTGTATTTAAGGTAAATTCATTTTTAAAACTCTCTGCATCAGTAAGCACATAGTAGTACATCTCAGGTTTGTATAGACAACATATAAGAGTACTTTTCATACAGTGTTCTCTGCATACCGAGGGTCCAGATATACTTGTGCACATTAGTAATTTGAAAATGGAAAAAATAGATATATTTATAATGAAAACAAACACTTTTAAAGCACATGTGAATTTTAACATCTTTTTTCTTGGGGGGGGGATTTCCGTCTAGCTCTAAATCAACAGGTGTTATGACAATTGAGCTGAAACCTTCTTCCTCTGGAAAAACATGTTCATCAAGCAACGAGGTAAGAACAGAATGAAAATTAATGTTAATTAAATATTACAAATAGAATTTTAAGGCATTTTCTAGTGAAACACTACTGGTGCTTTAAATTAAGACTTCCTATATAAGAGTTCCTTGCATATTGTCCATCCATTCTCTCCACATTTAAAGGAGAAAGTATTCCTACCGGCAATCTATTTTGGAGGTAAGTTATTCCAAAAATTTTTATCATTTAAGTAGGACAGAAAATACACCATGTTTGTTCCCCTGCCTCTCTGTCAGGGTCCTGGCTGTTATCCCAGCCTGCCTTCCAGTGCCCAGATTGTGGCAAAGCCTCACTATGTTACAAACTCCCTTGCCATTGGCCAGTGGCAACACTAGGCTACAAAAACAGTAAAGGTAAAGGTTTCCCTTGCTCGAAAGCCAGTCAAATATGACTCTAGAGATGCGGTGCTCATCTCCATTTCCAAGTCGAAGCGCCAGTGCTGTCCAAAGACGTTTCCATGGTCACGTGGCCGGCATGACTAGATGCCAAAGCGCACGAAATGCTGTTACCTTCCCACCGAAGTGGTACCTATTCATCAACTTGCAATTTCTTGCTTTCGAACTGCTAGGTTGGCAGGAGCTGGAACCAGAGATGGGAGCTCACTCCGTCATGTAGCACTCAGAACTGCTGAACTACCAACCTTCCGGTCTGCAGTTCAGCGTCTTAACCACAGTACTCATACCTATTTTATCCACTCTCAGCACAAGCAGCTGCCAAACCACACAAACACCCCTTGCAGGCTAGTAAAGGAAGCCTACTGGATTTTAAATTAACCATTTCCTCATGAAAACTGCAGAAAACAGACTTCCTCCTGCTGATTTTAGTCCTCCCTGCACTTAAAATTAAGCAAACACCCTTTCAAGCAGCCTGTCTCTGTTCCATGCCATGCGATACCTTTGTATCAGATTCTCTTGTCTTCAACCATCCCCCACTTATTACTTATATGAACTGGCTGTATGGTTAACATTCCAATGCTCTTATCTGTCTTTTGACATCCTCCTATAATTCTCACATAACCTCCTTATTTTACTTAAAACTGCTTGGTTTCACAACTTCCTTTACTGTTTAATCAATATTTAGCAGAAATTAGTTTTGCTGCTACCGACATGAGGCATCAAAGATACTACGGCTCATATGGACAGGAAACTTCGGGGGGGAAGCGTGGCTGTTTGCCCCGGGGCAAACTAACGCGCGGTTAAGGGATCAGACCTCCCCTGGAGGTTCCGTGGAGGTTCCGTGGGAAGGGAGAGGTGCTGATCACAGGACGATCCTGCGTGCAACAAAGAAGCACGTGGTGCGGCAAACAAGTGGGGTTTTTTGTTGTGTACACCAAAAATGTGCATGCTCCGTTGGTTGCTTGTGCGCATCCACGGAGACTTGGGGGGGAAAAAACCGTCTTTGCAAGGAGACATGGGCGGGCGCCGGATGCCACCGGAAACGCGATCAGACGCCCGCCCTTGCCCCGCAGTTTCCGGAAACTAGTACCTCCGAGGTACTAGTTTTTTGCAGCGCGGTTTCGGCGGGAAGCCTCGGTTGAGCCACGGAAGCGCTACACTTCCCAGATGTGCCGGTGAGATCGCGCCCGGAAACTCCGCCTGACTTCAGTCTCTGTAGCGTGGCTAATGTTCCGTGTGACTGCAGCCTACATCTATCAAATAAATAAATTTCAGGGTCAAAAGCTCAATGTTTCTTCACATATGGATTACAGTGCTTGGATCTGGGTCCCTACCATGTGTTATACATGCAACACATGTGAGCTGTAAGTTCTCCTTAATTCCTACATATGTGGTGCCTGACTAGGATGAGAACTGTGGTACAAGAGAAGGTGTTTCAGCCTTGTCTCCTGCACCATTTCCCCAGCCTGAAACTTTCTCAAGAGTATGCTATGAGGCCTTCTGGGAAAACTGGCATACAGCCCAGGAAACACATGGTTTTCACCAAATAGCACCTCTACACTGCAGATGTAGGGGAGGCTTAATGATGTCATGGCCAAAGCAAGATTTGAACTCTCAGTTACTGCATTGCATCATCCCTCTCAGGTTTAATTCCCACAACTTTGCTTCATTGCATACAAAACATTCATAATCGTGGGTGTTTATACATTGACAGTGGTGTGTGGATGTATGGAAATGAAATCTTTATACTGTTTTTGGTGTGTATTATCACAATTGTGAAGGTTATTTATGTATTAAAAGAGGATTGCGTTATGGAGGGGTGGTAGTCTATAATTGCTGTTTTGGAAGAACAATCTTCTGAACTAGTATAAGGCCATATGTTTTGATATTATAGCATTTTGGTTCATTTACCATTGATATGTCATTGTGATGTTTTATGTCATTGTGAATGTTGTACACCGCCTTGAGCCAGCTTGTCCGGCAAGGCGGAATAGAAATTAAAGCAATAAATAAATAATAAATAAATATGAATAAGTAACAAAAGGAGTTAGGGTTAGGAATGTGCATTTACAGAGTTATAGGTTTCTTTGTTTTGTATTTTTTATATTGTTAACTAAACCATAAAAAACAAGTTTTAAAATGTATGTAATATTAATTTGAAGGTTTTTTCCACCAGCTCTTTCACATAAATGTTGGCTGCCCTTATGTTCAGCACCTGAAGGTTAAAAGGTAAGTTAGAATTTCAATTCCCTACTCTTTTTTATTTATTTAGTAACAAAAACTCAATTAAATACTATAACAACACAACTGTCAGATTCATATATCTATCTTTTTAAGTATGTAAGAGTATCCTTAGTTTATTCACACACTGAAATATTCAGGACTTGTGCAAGCCCAATTGTTGGCAGTGTGATTTATATTTAAACAAGCAGGGGTACATGATGTATCACCTCATGTGGAGGGAACAAACATTGTGACATATTGACTGCATAGTGGTGCAAGCCTGCGACTTCCAGAGGTAAGGCAGCTTCGTGCTCATCTAATTCGCACCTCAGCAGTCTACCATGGTATATATTTTATACAAGACTGCTCACTTAACTAAGCTAGTTCTCTCAGGTTTTTAAAAGTTGTCATATTTGCAAAGAATCCTATTTAATTTATATAATTCTGTTTATCTGTTTTGCATCCACAGACCTTCAAGTTGTAAGGATCAGAACTTTACATTCATTGTACCTCAGTAAGAAATTTATACAAAGTATAGACAAAGTGGTTAGAAATATGTTTCTAGTATTCTTCTGATCCAGAGATCTCTAGCAAGCAATAGGCTGCATTCACACTGTTGTATACCGTCTTGCACACCACTCCAGGAAAGAGAGATCTGTTTTCAGAGTGCTGATCAGCAGCTTGTTCTTGTATACATGTTTAGGGACTGTATTCAGATAGACACAGACATAGGTGACCGATACTGTCAGAGCTGACATCATGTTCCCTCTAAGCTGTGGAATCTTGTGAGCAAAAACTCTACATTGGGAGCTACTGGCATTAAAGTTGTGAGCAAGCAATTTGGCTACTGCATAAATCAGTTTGCTCTGAAGTCTTCTTTCCTGAGCTGAGACAAAAATGTGTGAGCCAGAGGCTAAAAAACTGTGAGCTAGCTCACACTAGCTCAGCTTAGAGGGAACACTGGTTGCCACCCACCTAATCTCAAAAGGTGGGGCACCCGAAGCAGAGCCTCCAAAGATGACCGTAATGGTTGAGCAGGTTCAGGGATTAGGTGGTGCTTCAGTTATGTTGGTCCCAAACCATATAGGGCTTTGAAGGTCAAGTCTAGCACCTTGAATTGTGCCTGGAAGCAAACTGGAAACCAGTGTATGGTCTCTACAACTCCCTGCAGACAATATTCTGGCTGCAGCATGCTGTACCAACTGAAGTTTCCAAATACTTTTCATGGGCAGTCCTTTGTAGGGGGTATTGCAATAATCAAATCTAGATGGAACCAGGGCATACACCACCGTGGCTAGATCTCTTTTGTCTAGGAAAGGACCCAGCTAACTAACCAATCAAAGCTGGTATGAGGCACTCTTGGCCACAGCTGCCATCTGTTTATTCAGAACATAAGAACATAAGAGAAGTCAATGTTGGATCAGGCCAATAGCTCATCCAGTCCAACACTCTGTCACACAGTGGCCAAAAATACCAGGTGTCATCAGGAGGTCCACCAGTGGGGCCAGGACACTAGAAGCCCTCCCACTGTTGACCCCCCCCCCCAACCCCCAAGAATAACGTGCATAACTTGCCCCACTACCTATACCTTGTGGCTAATAGCCACTGATGGACATCTGCTCCATATGTTTATCCAATTCCCTCTTGAAGCCATCCATGCTTGTAGCCGCCGCCGCCTCCTCCTGTGGCAGAAGTAGGTCTGCATCTTAGATCACCCTCAGACTATGGGCCTGTTCCTTCAAGGGGAGTACAACCCCATCCAGAACAGGTGACACCTTCAATCCTAGGTTAGACGTTCCACCCACCAGTAGTACTTCTATCTTGTGATTAAGCTTCAGTTTATTAGCCCACATCCACACCAAAACTTTCTCCAGGCACCAGTTCAGGGTTTCTACAGCCTCCCTGGAAGCACGAGATAGAGCTGAGTGTCATCTGCATATTGGTGAAAACCCAGCCCAGCTGTCTGGATGACCTCAGCGAGGGGTTTCATATAGATGTTAAAGAGCACGAGGACAAGATGGAACCTTGTGGGACTGCATAGGCCAAAGGCCAAGGGGCTGGATAGCAGTCCCTCATCACTACCTCTGAAACCTACCATCCAGGTAGGACTAGAACAATTACAGAACAGTGCCTCCCAAACCGAATTCAGATAGGCAGTCCAGAAGGATCCGATTATTGATGGTACTGAAAGCTGCTGAGAGGTCCAGGAGAATTAGCAGAGTTGCATTCTCTCTGTCCATCTCCTGGTGCAAGTCATCCAGTAGGATGACCAAGGCTGTTAAAGTCCCATAACCAGGCCTGAAACCAGATTAGAATGGGTCTAACAAAGTCTTATAATTAAAATGACTTGTAATTAATTTTTATCTGCTTCTTGAAGGATTGACTTTTAATCTTTGTCAGTTACCGATCAGCAATCTTACATCTTCATTGAGCTAAATTTTTATTTTCATTTTGCTCTCATTTCAAAAATTATTTTGTATCCATTATAATTATTTTTACCTATTTCATCTTCATGTCAGGCACCCAAAAGACTACATTTTCTATGATGCATTAATGTGTGGCACCTCAGACATTCAAAACAGCAGTCTATGAATCAGGGAAGAGGAGACTCACCTAGCATCTGGGAGGGAGAGGAATTATTTGAATTCTCTAAACCAGACTTCTAGGCTCCATGACAATTAATAGGATCTCATGTTCCACAGACAGAAGAAAAAAGGAGGGAGTGATTTTGCTGCTTCCCCTTCCCACTCCAGCTTCCTGGCTATTGATTGTTTGCTTGGTTTTGTGGGTTGTCTCTGCAGACTTGCTTGAGGCAGCTCACAATTGTAACAATAAAACAAAAACAAGCAAACAAGACCAAATTAATAAAAATAAGCCAATACAATAAATATGACCCACAATAAAAACAACTAATAAAAGCAAGCAAGAGCATAAAAGCACATAAAATAAATAGAGCAGCCTAAAATGATATTGATGAAACAGCTCTCAGCTACCAAATGGTTCTTGCCTCCAGAAAAGCCCATTACACTGCTGGAGCAATTTATTTTTATTTATTTATAAATTAAATTTATTAATTGCCCAATCCCTGCATTCACAGGGCTCTGGGCAATGCGCAACAGTAAATAAAATATAATATAAACATTCAGTACGATCTTAAAAACAATTCCCAGATGGCATCCATGAGTCAAATTTTAAGCCAGTCCTGGACTGTGTTGCCACCTCGCAGGCAGAACCAAGAGGTCGCCGAAAGAAAAATTATGGAATAAAGTAGGGGGTGCCAGCCAAGCCCATCGCTGTCCCCAACCAAAAGCCTGGCAGAACATCTCTGCCTTACAGGCTCTGCGGAATTGCATTAAATCCCGCAGGTCCCTGATGCTATTTGGCAGAAAGTTCCACCAGGTTGGAGCCAGGGCTGAGAAAGTCCCAAAGATACATGGGTCCCTGACTGCTCATGGCCTTAAAGATCAGTACCAAAACCTTGAACCTGACACGGTACTCCACTGGAAGCCAGTGTAGCTGGTGCAACAGAAGTTGAATATGTACTGTCCATGATGTTCCCATCAGGACTTGTGCCGCCGCATTCTGGATCAGTTGGAGTTTCTGGATCAGTCTCAAGGGCAGGCCAGCGTACAGCGACTTAGAGTCATGGTCACAGAACCTAGCAGGGGAGAGGCGATCCTAGATTTGGTCCTAAGTAACGCCCAAGACCTGGTGACGGATGTAAAAGTGATTGCACCACTTGGGAACAGTGACCATAATGTTATTGAGTTCAACATTTCTATAAATAGGGAATTGGCCAAAAAGACTGACACAACCACTTTTAACTTTAAACGGGGTAACTTCTCTGATATGAGGGGACATGTGAGGAATAAACTGAAAGGAAAAGTAGAAAGGGTCAAAACCATTGAGGAAGCTTGGAAACTATTTAAAACTACAATGCTAGAAGCTCAGAAAAAATATATACCGCAGGTTAGGAAAGGCACAAATAGTTATAGAAAAAAGCCTGCATAGTTAACAAACAAAGTAATACACCAAACTAGAAAAAAGCCTGCATGGTTAACAAAGTAATGGAAGCTGTAAAAGGTAAGTGGTGGAAAGTGAGGTTGATGAAAGGGAACACAGGCTGTGGCAAATAAAATGCAAATCTGTGATCAGGCAGGCAAAAAGCGAAAAATGTAAAGACCAACAATAAAACTTTCTTCAAATACATTAGAAGCAGGAAACCAGCCAGGGAGGCAGTGGGGCCCTTGGATGACCAAGGGGTAAAAGGAGTAGTGAAGGATGATAGGGAAATGGCTGAGAAACTGAATTCATTTTTTTGCTTCTGTCTTCACTGTGGAAGATGAGAAGTGCTTGCCCACTCCAGAACCACTGATTTCAGGAGGGGTGTTGAAAGACCTGAGTCAGATTGAGGTGACGAGAGAGGAGGTCCTAAAACTGATAGACAACTTAAAAACTGAAAAATCACCAGGCCCAGATGGCATACATCCGAGAGTTCTGAAAGAACTCAAATGTGAACTTGTAGATCTCCTGACAAAGATATGTAATCTTTCCTTAAAATCTGCCTCCATTCCTGAGGATTGGAAGGTAGCAAATGTCACTCCCATCTTTAAAAAGGGTTCCAGAGGAGATCCGGGAAATTACAGGCCAATCAGTCTGACGTCGATACCGGGTAAATTGGTGGAAACCATTATTAAGGAAAGAATTAGTAGGCACATAGATGAACAAAACCTATTGAGGCAGACTCAGCACGGTTTCTGTAAGGGAAGATCTTGTCTCACTAACCTGTTAGTGTTCTTTGAGGGGGTGAACAAACATGTGGACAAGGGGGATCCAATAGATATTATTTACCTTGACTTCCAGAAAGCTTTTGATAAAGTTCCTCATCAAAGGCTCCTAAGTAAGCTCAAAAATCATGGGATAGAAGGACAAGTCCTTTTATGGATCAAAAACTGGCTAGTTCATAGAAAACAGAGAGTGAGTGTAGGTGGGCAATTTTCTCAGTGGAGGGTGGTAAGCAGTGGGGTACCGCAGGGATCAGTACTTGGTCCACTGCTTTTTAACTTGTTCATTAATGATTTGGAGATGGGAGTAAGCAGTGAAGTGGCTAAATTTGCGGATGATACAAAGTTGTTCAGGGTGGTGAAAACCAGTGAGGATTGTGAGGCACTCCAAGGGGATCTGTCAAGGATGGGCGAGTGGGCGTCAACATGGCAAATGGGGTTCAATGTGGCCAAGTGCAAGGTGATGCACATTGGAGCCAAAAATCCTAAATATAAATACACATTGATGGGGTCTGAACTGGCAGAGACTGAGCAAGAGAGAGATCTTGGAGTTGTAGTGGATAACTCACTGAAAATGTCGAGACAGTGTGTGACTGCAATAAAGAAGGCCAATGCTATGCTGGGGATTATTAGGAAGGGTATTGAAAACAGATCAGCCAATATAATAATGCCCCTATATAAATCAATGGTGAGACCTCATTTGGAATACTGTGTGCAGTTCTGGGCACCACACCTTAAAAAGGATATTATAGCTTTGGAAAAAGTGCAGAAAAGGGCAACTCGAATGATAAAAGGGTTGGAACACTTTCCCTATGAGGAAAGGTTAAAGCGCTTAGGGCTCTTTAGCTTGGAGAAAAGACGACTGAGGGGTGACATGATCGAGGTTTATAAGATTATGCATGGGAAAGAGCAGGTAAAGAAAGAGGTACTTTTCTCCCTTTCTCACAATACAAGAACTCGTGGGCACTCCATGAAACTGCAGAGCGGTCGGGTTAGAACGGATAAAAGGAAGTACTTCTTCACCCAAAGAGTGATTAACACATGGAATTCACTGCCACAGGAAGTGGTGGGTGCTACAAGCATGGACGGCTTCAAAAGGGAATTAGATAAGCATATGGAGCAGAGGTCCATCAGTGGCTATTAGCCACAAGGTATAGCTAGGGGCTCTGGGGCAAGTGATGCTCTGTCTTCTTGGTGCTTGGGGGGGGGGTCAACAGTGGGAGGGCTTCTAATGTCCTGGCCCCACTGCTGGACCTCCTGATGGCACTGGTATTTCTGGCCACTGTGTGACACAGAGTGTTGGACTGGATGGGCCTTTGGCCTGATCCAACATTGGCGTCTCTTATGTTCTTATGTTCTTAAATGTAGGAGCAGGACCAGGGTACTTTAATCCATCAGGGATACACTTGGAATTCACTGCCACAGGAGGTGGCGGCTACAAGCATAGAAGGCTTCAAGAGGGAATTAGATAAACATATGGAGCAGAGGTCCATCGGTGGCTATTAGCCACTAGGTATAGATAGAGACTCCGGGACAAGTGATGCTCTGTATTCTTGTTGCTTGGGGGGAGTCAACAGTAGGAGGGCTTCTAGAGTCCTGGCCCCACTGGTGGACCTCCTGATGGCACCTGGTATTTTTGGCCACTGTGTGACAGAGTGTTGGACTGGATGAGCTATTGGCCTGATCCAACATTGGCTTCTCTTATGTTCTCTTAGTAGTCTACCCTGGAGGTGACCGCTGCATGGATTACCGTGGCTAGGTCAGGGCACAATAGGAAACGGGCTAGTTCCACACTTGGCATAGATGGAAGAATGCCAGACTGGCAACATTGGTGACCTGGGCCCCCTTAGATAATGATGGTTTGTGCCGGTGTCAGTAGTTTGTGCATAACATGGCCATGGCATAACATGGCCATGTCAATGGCACCCCATCAAGAGTGGGGAGTTTGTGCCCCAGCCCTGAAGCCCCCCATCACAGAACCTCCATCTTTGTTGGATTCAGTCTCAGCTGGCTCTTTTTTAGCCATTCTGCCATGGCCTCCAAACCCATGGCCATGTTATGCTGGGCAGTATCTGGGCGGCCGTCCATTAACAGGTATAACTGGGTGTCATCAGCATCCCGGCCTGAAACTCCATACTAGCTTGGCAAGGGGGTGCATGTAGATGTTAAATAACATCAGGAAGAGGACTGCCTCCTGAGGAACCTCACATATTAAGGGGTACCTAGTTGACACCTCCCCCAGTGCCACCATTTGTCCCTGCTTTGTCTAACAAAAAAAATTCAATTTTTGAAGTAATCTCCACCCATTTTTACCCCACACCTGTAGAGGAATATCCTTATGTGATTTCCACTTCCATCATTCCACCTAAAGTAGCCTCATTCTGAAGTGGAATGATCAGTTCTATTCAGTGCTTAGCACTGGAGAATATTGAACAGCCAGAACTCATTGATAGAGTAGATGTGCATGTTACGCTGAAATACTTTCCAGAAGGCATAATGTCCCATCCTTTTTTGTGATTATGGATAAGTAATGTTGAAGAACTTCACAGTTAACAGTAGTATAACCTTTTTTTCTTACATTAGGAAACATACATGGTTTGAGACAAGTGAAGATTTGGTAAGCATTAAGCATTTTATTTCAGTCAGCTATTGATACAAATAAATGAAAACATAACATCTTTACTAAATCACCTTGTTCCCCTAGAAAATACAGTATGATGAGGGAGCGTTTGGTTGCCCAATAGATGTCTATTATGGAGATCCATTTCGTCCTTTAGTTATGCTGTAAGTACAATTGAAATATTATAAGATCTCACAGAAGAAACGCATTAGCAAGGTATTTGGCATGGGCCCTTCTCCCAATTCCCCATCAAATGACTTTGTTTTTACTTTGTATGATAGGAATTGCATGGATAAGAGGCTGAGTTTCACTGATACATAAAGGATATGAGGAAATATTGTTGTTGGTAGACAGGAAAGGGAAATATGGCACTATAAAAGAGAAAAGGGAGAGTGTTGAGTTTGTTAAGGCCTTTAAATGTTGTTTGATTGTAATAAACCAGTGTTTCCCAACCTATAGATTGGGACCCAAAACTGGGTTGTAAATGGGTTGCAGACCGGCCCTCCTTAATGAACGCTCCTGCCCTTTGCAACCTTGTCTTTCTTTCCTCTTTGTCTGCATCTCATATTCTCATCTCCCTCTCCATCTTTGTGTCAATAATGGGGAGGGGAGCTGTCTGGCAACTAGTAACTTCACAGTAGTAGCTGAAAGGGGTGGATGTTGGAGAGTAAGTGGGAGATGTTCAGCGTATCGTGGAAAAAACAGAGGAGGATAGAAAGAGGCATGTGTGGGCATGGGCTCTGTCTTGGTGCCCTCCACATTGCCTCACTGCTGTCTCTTCCTGTGGGAGAGGTATTGTAACTGCATTGAGCCACTTGCCACCAACTTCTTCACCGCCATCAGCCATCTTCATGTATCTTCTTAACCCAGCACCACCATCACCCTGAGCATACCTCCTGAAACTCAAGCTCTGGCCCAGCTGGCAGATGAGGAGGAGATGAATTCCCACTTGCTTGGGGTTCATACTGGGGGTAGCTGCACCCTTTGTGTGATGTTAGTTGGTTTCTCCAAAAACAACTGGTTGGGCACTATAGAAAATGGAATGCTGGAATAGATGGGTGCCACTGTCATAGTTTGCCTAGGGCACCAAAAAAAAACTTGGCCCAGCCCTGGATGCGTCATTCTACAAAATAAATTTGGACTTGTGGATCATCATACCTAAAAGGTTGGGAACCACTGTAATAGACTGCATATGGTTGTAAGTTGCCCATAGCAACTGGGATACAATGAGATACTTAGGGGGAAAATAGTCTACAACTAGATAATCCATCATACAGCTATTATCTTGAATCCTGTTCCACCTACCCTTATGACCATATGTTTAACATCCTAACTCTTAGTGGAAATACATCTCTTCAAAGCCCAACTGTTGCTTCTCCTTTCCAGTGATTTGATTTCCAAAAGAGAAATATAAATGAATCCTTGGTATCTGCCTTTTTATTATTTTAGTCAAGATATACTTTTTGGTTTTTGTTTTCAGATATGATGGTGATACATTTATTAATATTGTTGAATCAGAGTATGTATTATGGGAAATGAATGGCAGGACAGATTTCTTTTACAACGCAACCATGAATGAGGTATATGATGTTTGTGTATTATATATAACTAGGAATAAGGCCCGTTGTGGAAATAAATACAACGAGCTCTAGAAAGAGGCTCTGGGAGCGTGCCAAGGCCTTGGGCACTCAGCATCAATGTGCTGTGGTGACCTCAGCAGAGTATAATGACACAGAGTCCACCATTTTCTCCAGAGGAACTGATCTCTGCAACCTGAAGAGCAGTTGTAATTTTCAGTGATCTCCAGCCCTCACCTGAAGATTGGCAACAATTGTTACCCAAGAGGGAATGGCTGGTTTAGAGGGTGGAGTCTATGGCATTGTACCTGTCTGAGGTCCTACCCCTCCTCAAACCTCACCCTCTCCAGGCTCCACCCCTCAAATCTCCATGAATTTCCCACCCTGGAGTTGGCAACCCTATCTTCTTCCCAGCCAAGCATCAAC